AGCGTGTGTAGCTGCGACCATCTCTCTCCCTCCGCTCTTTACTGATGTGAGGCTAAAGCATGCTGTAAGTTTTTCACGTTCAAATCATAATCTTATGATTTGTAGTTTTACATCTCGGTGCTTTTCTTTTTCTTTCTTCTTTTTTTTTTTTTTTTTTTTTTTGGGCGTTTAGCTATGTTGCCCAGGCTGGCCTCGAACTCGTGGCCTGAAGTGATCGCCTCGCCCCAGCCTCCTGAGCAGCTGGAACTGCAGGCGTGTGCGCCCAGCTCTTGTGTTTTATTTAGTTATACTAAAAGGAAACGTTCAGCTCTCCATGGCAGTAATCGATCAAAAACGTATCAGAGAAGTTTTATATTTATGTCAAGGGAAAAAATCTGCATAGCAGCATCATTGTTTAATCTTTTTAATCCAAGGTTTCATCATACAATTTGGTATGTTTAATTCTAACGAGGCCAGCATTGCATTTTAATGTTGATGAAAGATGGGGGGGAGGGTGTGTCTTGTCTTTATGGAAAACCTCAGCTGTCTTGTTTTTTTGACAGAACTTTAACATATAAAACATTCTTGGGTTTAGTGAAAATGCCACCATTCCTGTGTCACGGATTCGTGCTGACCCTCAGATTCCCGAGCAAAAGGATGCTCTGCAGAGTGGATTTACCAAGAGACCCATAGATGAGATGACTTTTATTTCTTTTCGCAGAACCACAGTACCGTAAGACGTTTTTGTTCTTGTGCAGTGAAATGCTCTGTCGTGGCTCAGATTCAAATCTAAGAAAGATCAGAGTTAATAGAAAACCCAATGGAAGGCCCAGGAGGAAATGGAAGCATTGCTTTGTAGCTTCTGTCTCACACCGAAATTGCCAGGGAAGTCAGGAGGCCGCGCTGGGGACTTTGGACCCCTTCGGTTCGTTAGATTGTCTGTTGTCCGAGAACCTTTTCAAAGTTTTCCTTCTGCTTCTGCGTTTTTAAGAAATGAAAATATAATGTAAGAACATGGAGGGTTTTGAAGCATGAAGTTCCATAAATATTTATGCCAAACCACAGAAGTAGACAATTCCTATTTTCTTGACATATTGGGGTCGTGTTCCGCTCTTGACCTCTGGAATTGAAAAATACAAGGAGTTAGTATACCCTTTTCTTTGCTCTTATTTATTTATTTTCATTTCTTTAAATGAGTTTTAGATGCCGGGAGTTGTCCTGCCGGGTTCATGTAGGTTTTGGTGAACTTTATTTTCTGTCCTAGTTGATGTTTCTAAAAGTTTATACTGTTATCAAAAGAAACATAAGTTATACCCAATTTTAGGCCTCACTTGTAAGCTCATTAATCTGTTTTTGAGTTTATTGTCACTAAATTGAAAACAAATGTTTTTTTGTCAAGACTAATAAGTAGGTTTGCATCTGAAAGCATATCTTAAATTAGCCCTTTCATTTTATTTTCTCCCTCACTTACAATCTTTGGTCCATAACAAATATTTTTATCCTTTGAAATTATGTTTAAAAACCTTATTAAGTAATAATAAATGTCAATTGTAGAGAATTTAGAAAGTATAGGTAGGCAGAAAAGAAGAAACATCACCTATAATCTTATGTTCTTTTTTCCTGATCTTTATGTAAGTATAGGCAGTCTATTTAGTATAAAGAAAAACTATATTTAAAATATTCTAAAGTACTGGTAAAGTCATTTCTGTGGAAATGATTGGTTTTTGTTTGTATTTGGTGTTTTTTTCCCCCTCTGGGCAGTTTCTTTTGCTTCTATTTAAAATAACACATCAGTTGATCAGTAAGGCTGGGTGTACTGTCTTCTTGTTCTCAGGGTGCTAATGGTTTAGTAGAAGAGAAAATAATATATTTGAAAAACCATGTGGTTTAAGTTAATAAGTACAAGATGTCAGATAAGATAGCTTATTTGGGAATTAAGAATGAGGAGAGAATCTTTTAAGGTACAGAAGAGAAGGTATGATTTTGGAAAATTAAGAATTATAGGAATAAGGACCTAAAAAATACACCATAAAGGTTTCTGGTCCAAGTCAAGTAAGAAAAATTGTACATACATATAATCGCATAAACATATGCATTTTGATTTGTTAATTAAAAATAACTGAAATTTCAAAACTTAAAACAATTCTAGACGGCGAGGAGAATGCTTGAGAGTTCACTCCAAGAGCCGGGGCCGCAGCTGGGGTCTGAGGACCTCAGCCAGACCACTGCTCCTCCTTCCTGGGGTTGAGCCCCGAGTGGAGGTGCAGTTTGGAGGCAGGAGTGGCCCCTGAGGCCACGGGGTGGCCGGGCAGGGGGCAGTCACAGACGGGTGGCGTGGGCTGGGGCCGGGCAGGGGGCAGTCACAGATGGGTGGCATGGGCTGGGGCCGGGCAGGGGGCAGTCACAGACGGGTGGCGTGGGCTGGGGCCGGGTGAGGGGGCAGTCACAGAGGGGTGGTGTGGGCTAGGGCCGGGCAGGGGGCAGTCACAGACGGGTGGCGTGGGCTGGGGCTGGGCAGGGGGCAGTCACAGAGGGGTGGCGTGGGCTGGGGCTGGGCAGGGGGCAGTCACAGACGGGTGGCGTGGGCTAGGGCCGGGCAGGGGGCAGTCACAGAGGGATGGTGTGGGCTAGGGCCCGGTGGGGGCAGTCACAGACGGGTGGCGTGGGCTGGGGCTGGGCAGGGGGCAGTCACAGACGGGTGGCGTGGGCTAGGGCCGGGCGGGGGCAGTCACAGACGAGTGGCGTGGGCTGGGGCCGGCAGGGGGCAGTCACAGACGGGTGGCGTGGGCTAGGGCCGGGCAGGGGGCACCATGCCCAGCGAATTTTTTCTATATATTTTTAGTTGTCCAGCTAATTTCTTTCTATTTTTAGTAGAGATGGCGTCTCGCTCTTGCTCAGGCTGGTCTTGAACTCTTGACCTCAAACGATCCTCCCGCCTCGGCCTCCCAAAGTGCTGGGATCACAGGCGTGAGCCACCGTGCATGGCCCGTGTGTGCATTTCTTGGCTGGACGTAGCCCCTTAGCTGTTCCACAGACTTCCACTCAGCATTCCCCGGCCTGAACTTCTCTTCTTCCCTCCAAACCTGCTCCTCCTCCGCTGGCCCCTAGTCTCATGGGATGGGACCGCCGTGTACCCATGGTCCAAACCAGAAGCTCAGGGGCATCTTGCTCTCTCCCCACCTCTGCACTCTGACCTCCAGTCGGTGCCAGCTCCGGTGCCTTTCATTCTTCACTTTTCCATCAGGTGTGACCCTCCCTCTTCTCTGAGCCCCGTTTGTTTCTTTGCATCTTTCATAGGTCTGCTGCAGGGTCTCGTAGCTCGCCTCCCGCGGTCTGGCTTACCCCTGCCCCTTTGCTGCTTCCCCTTCTCTTCTTCCCTTCCCACAGGTACTCCGCGCACTGCGGCGGAGTGGAGCGTGTGCGTGCACTTTCCTTTTCTCCTTTCCTCTCCCAGGCTGCCCTTCCCCCTCCTCGCCAGCTCATTGGGCTTATTTGGAAGGTTCTGTGAAGGTACAAGTCTTTGGCAGTTTTTCTTGAGTCTGAAATTTGGAGCAAATACCCCTCTTTTCCTATTTCCCATGACCTTTGCTTATGCCCCTTTTATTTTTTATTTATTTATTTATTGATTGATTGATTTATTTATTTATTTATTTATTTATTTATTTATTTATTTAATAGAGACGGGGTCTCGCTATGTTGCCCAGGCTGGAGTGCAGTGGCTATTCACAGGCGCGATCCCACTACTGATCAGCACGGGAGTTTTGACCTGCTCCGTTTCCCACCTGGGCCAGTTCACCCCTCCTTAGGCAACCTGGTGGTCCCCCGCTCCCGGGAGGTCACCATATTGATGCCGAACTTAGTGCGGACACCCGATCGGCATAGCGCACTACAGCCCAGAACTCCTGGGCTCAAGCGATCCTCCTGCCTCAGCGCCCCTTTTATTTTTAAAGCCATATTTTATTGAAGTGGTCTGTGTGTGTCTACGGGTTATTTGAGGCCGGGGCCTTGCTCCTTACCGCGGAGCGTCTTGTGTAGTGTCTGGCTCGGTGTATTCTTCTTGAACTGAATTCGGTAAGTGTGAAGGGAGAGGCTGGTTGGAAGGGTATGTTGGCCCAAATTGCGGACACCTTTGTGCGTGATAAACACGCAGATACTCGATGCACGAACAAATGGAAATCGGATTATTGTTTTGTAAATGTTGCCAGTTTAGGTAGAAAAATAACGTCAGGTAGCGACTCCTTTGTTGTCATTAGCATGGCTGTTGTCGTGGTGCCTCAGCAGGACAGCGTTGCAACCTGTTAGCCTTCAAAGGGGTGACACGCCCGTGCCAGCCGACCTCGTGACATCTCGGATCACATCACGTGTCCTCTCTGTCCCGGCCTCCTGGGCTCACGTCTGTCCGTGACTAATCTGCTCGCCAAGGCCGGTACCAGGGGAGAAGTTGCCAGTGTTTATGCCTACAGCAGGGGGTGGCAAGCTGTCGCCTGTTCTTGTAAATAAAGTTTTTAAATTGGAGCACAGCCAAACCACTTATTCACCTGTTATCTATGGCTGCTTCTGTGCTAAAACAGCATAGGTGGCTCACGCCTGTAATCCTAGCACTTTGGGAGGTAAAGGCGGGGAGGGTTGCTTGAAGCCAGGAGTTCAAGCCCAGCCTGGGCAATAGCAAGAGCCCGCTTTACAAAAAGTGAAATCAGCCGGGCGTGGTGGCGCATGCCCGTAGTCCCAGCTACTCGGGAGGCTGAGGCAGGAGGATCGCTTGAGCCCAGGAGTTGGAGGCTGCTGTGAGCTAGGCTGATGCCACGGCACTCACTCTAGCCCAGGCAACAGAGTGAGACTCTGTCTCAAAAAACAAAATAACAACAAAAAAAAACCAACCAAAAAACCCCCAAACATTTTGACATCTTACACTGGATCTATGTATTATGTGTCCTTACTGTAGTTTTTGCTTATGAAAAAATTTTAATTTTTATGGCAGTTATTTTCTTTTTAGGATATTCGACCAATTTTGTTTGTTTTAGGTTGCCTGCCTGATCCGAGTTCCATCTGAAGTGGTTAAGCAGAGGGCACAGGTATCTGCTTCCTCGAGAACATTTCAGATTTTCTCCAACATCTTATATGAAGAGGTGAGATCTGTTTTTCAGCTCTCTCTTTTGGTTATTGAGAAAGATTTTATAGTAGCTAATATGAGCACTGTGGGCCTCATCCCAGGAGCCTTAGAGAAAGCCTCAGAGCTAAATTTAATGTCCAATTATAGTTAACTCTTGTGCTGAGATTATCTTTGCCTTTATTTGTTTTTGATGTTTATTTTCATTTTTATTTCTTTTTCAAATTTCTAAACAAGCATATTGAGTGCCACTACTGTGTATGTGTCCTGAATTGTAATCTTCCTACAGTTGTTCTGGAATCAGACGTGGAACAAATTGTAAATCTGTAAAGTGAATGAAGATAGTATCTTAAAACATCACTACAGAATTTGAGGGCCCCTGGAAGAGAAATATAGTAATGCACTGTGACAGTGACCAAAGTCATAGTGCTTATATCAAAATGTAATTCCTCTACCACTGATTAATGTTAAGCTGTGGGTCAGAAATTTCTTCCAGAAATTGTTCTTCCAGAAATTTCTTCCAGAAATTATTCTTCCTGGCCATGTGACCAGGGAGAATTTAGCTGTTTTCTTTTGTAATTTTTACAGAAGATTGCCTTTTTAAAAAAATGGGAATCAATTACATGGAAGTTTCAATGAGTCTTGGTTTTAGACAAGTTATTCTTAATGGTCTGTCACCTACATGAGCAGACATCAAATTCCTAATTTTATAGATGAGCTCAATCTAATACAGGGTCTCCATGTAACCATGTGGATGGTGACATTAAAAAAAAAAATCAAACTTTGGGAATATTTACTACTTTATTGAGAGATTATTAATGAATTCCTGGTGTTTGAATCTATGGAATATAATTTTGTTTTTATGAAAGGATAATTGGCATTTGCGTGCATTTGCTTTTGAAAATACATTTAAAGCATCTCAGATGTTCTTTTCCAAAGAAAAAAATGTTATAGCAGCTAAGTACTAAATAACATTATTTAGTACTTAGTAGAATAATAGCAGCTAAAACAAAATTAATGTGCAGTCGGTTTTATGATTAGAGATGTTCCCGTTTTGAAGGGAGCTAACCTGAGCTTTCTGTGTACCTGGGGCCAGTTTAGAACCTTTAACCTGTCACAGAACTGTGCTACGTGGGATCGTTTTGGAACTTAAACTTTGGAGCGGAAAAAAAAAAAAAAAAAAAATCCATTTTCTGCAGGCAAATAAAAAAAAAAAAAAAAAACAACTTTGGAGCGGGCAAACGTGCTGTACTCAGAATGTCACTCTGAAACCTCCTCTGCTATTCCAGCTCTCAGAGCTCCTGGCTTTTGTTTGTTTCAGGGCATCCGGGGTCTGTATCGAGGCTATAAGAGCACAGTTTTAAGAGAGGTAAGTCACTTAATTTCCGATATTGATGTGCAAAAGAGTGATGTGGTTTTTGTTCGGTAAATTTATACTTAACAATCAGAAATATACCTGGAGAATCTTGGTTCAAAAAATCAAATGGAAATTATGTTCACTCTTTTAGGCACCATTCATTTAGTCTCATCTCGGTTGTTCTCACATCTAAGGGAAGGGGCAGAGTGGCTTTGCTGGGAGAGCAGGCCCAGCGACAGAGTGGCCCGTCGTGTGGCTTCCTTGTTGTTCTGTGGTGGCTAAAGTCTCCCGCAGCGGAAAGGCTAAGAAATAACTGCTAAGGGTAAGATATCAGGTTAATTATCACAATATGGAGAGCTAATGAAAAATTGGTAGCGAAAGAGGCACCGTAAGAGACAGGTGTCCCCAAAGTCTGTTCTGGCAGGTAGCTCTTGGCTTCCTGATGACAAAATCAGTCGTGAGCTGGGAAGTTCAGTCTAGGCTGGGGTCCTGGCTCTGCAGGTGGCTTGCGGCGCAGAGTCCCAGGGCGGCCACGTCACCTCCCTGTGCCTTCTAACTCGAATTCCTGTGATTCAACATGTGGGAAACTAACTAACTAACTTTCTTTCTTTCTCTCTCGTCTCTCTCTCTCTCTCTTCTCTCTCCCTCCTCCCTCTCCCTCCCTCCATCTCCCTCCCTCTTCCCTCTCCTCCTTCCTCTCTTCCTTCCTTCCTTCTTCCTTCCTTCCTTCCTTCCTCCTTCCTTCCTTCCTTCTCCTCTCCTCCTTCTTCCTCTTCTCCTCTTTCTCCCTTCTTTTTCTTTTCTTTTCTTTTCTTTTCTTTTCTTTTCTTTTCTTTTCTTTCTTCTTTTCTGCAAAACTTTACCGTCAATAAATGATTTTAGTAAATTACTGCAGGCAGCATGTTTTAATCTTTGCCTCCCATAGGAGGGAGACTGTCTCGAAGTTGAAAAGCTGGTTTTTAGATAGGTGAGATACACGAGAGGCCTTTCATTTGGGACATCATGTTTTATCAAAGGAAACACAAGTGTGGACCTGCGTGTATCTGCTCTGTGTCCGTGTTTTCTATTTGGAGATCCCAGGAAACTGGAACATGGTATTTAAATCAATGTTGTCATATCTGGCAGAATATTGAAATTCTTTGAAATCCTTCATTTTATTCCCAGGTGGCTTTTTGTTTCTAACTGTGGATTACAATCATCTTTATGACTCACCAATACTGTTACGTGTGATTTAAAGCTTTGGTTTCCACAAGATGCCAGTCTGTGTTGTAGATCTTTGAAGAACTTCCTTTGAAGGCAAACTCGGTGTTTCAAAGTTAATTATTTGTGTGAAGATGACTTCTGACTTTCAGAAATATTGCCTGCACTATATCTTCGCTCTGTACTTATTTTCTGATTCACTAAACATGTGTTACTTAGATTCTACCTGGGTGCAGGAAGAAAAGAGGCAATAAACCTTTTCTATTTTTCTGAGAGATGCTGAATAAATGAATATATTTACATGCTAGAGAATACTGGTTTTGCATGCAAACAGATAAAACACATGGTTACAACTGCATTCTATTCTTTTAAAAATTTGTTTTGACATGTGTCATGCCAGTAATTAATTCCTAGGCTGCAATTCTTGCAAATATTGTCACCTTACTGAGATGCCTTCGTTTATTCAAAATGGCAGTGCTTTGTTGGAAATTTAATTGGGGTCTCCCGAGTTATGCGTGTTCATAAAAGATCCTTCAGAATCGATTTTAGTTGAAGTATTGCTTTTGTACAGATTCTCTGATAGAATGAGAGAAGAATTACTGCTGAATGAAACATAGCTTCTTTTCAAAATGAGCAAAATAAGAAGTGATGTATCTGCTTTAAGCAAAATTTTTTGCATTATAGTTTCGGTTCTTACATTATTCTGGCGCCAATATAAAATCTCTTTGCCAAGAGCTTGTTTGATTGTTTCAATAAGAAAATACACTGAAGCTTTTGTGAGAATCACTGGTAAACTCATATGTTTATTCTGTGTGCAATTTTTTCTTTGAAATAGTTTCATCTCCCTGGTAGTAGCCCATTAGAATGAGATTGAAGTTTGAATCCATGCATCGTGAGATAGATTATGCGTGTTCTTTTAGGGTTTGTGAATGCTGTCACACATTATTTACTGCATTTGGATGTTTGTGGAGATTGCACACTTACCCCTCATGTTCTCTTACATTGTTTTAGTTACTGTGAATTTTAGACCGAGTCTGAGCAAGGTCAACAGATTATACTATTTGCCTCACCCTTTCAGTATTCATTTTTCTCGTGATCTTGGCCAAATTAGATGTGGCCAAACATTGTGATACAGTGGTGTTATTTATTTATTATTTTTTTTAACTTTCTGCAACCATTTATTTACATACATTTTAAACAGTTAATACAAGAAAAATATGAAATGAATAGTTCATGACACAAGGTGTCTTTTTTTTTTTTTTTTTTTTTGAGGCAGAGTCTCACTCTATTGCCCGGGCTAGAGTGCCGTGGCATCAGCCTCGCTCACAGCAACCTCCAACTCCTGGGCTCAAGTGATCCTCCTGCCTCAGCCTCCCAAGTAGCTGGGACTACAGGCATGCGCCACCATGCCCGGCTAATTTTTTCTGTATGTTTTTAGTTGGCCAATTAATTTCTTTCTATTTTTAGTAGAGACGGGGGTCTCACTCTTGCTCAGGCTGGTTTCAAACTCCTGACCTCGAAGGATCCTACCGCCTCGGCCTCCCAGAGTGCTGGGATTACAGGCGTGAGCCAGACACAGGGGATTTTAAAAAGCAAATCTGGGAATTGAAGTCCCTTCTGACTCCAGGGCTCTAGTTAAAATGCCTGTTTTCCTGTTGGTGTTGTTTCCATTTTATTTTACCGATGTGCTCTTGAGAGCCAGAAAAGTGGCTTTAGCAACTCTATGAAAATCAGTAGTTCCTGGAGACCGTCGATGAGAGAGGCAGGCAGTTTTCCACAAGGAACCGGCTTCCGCCAGCTTCCCTCGCTCCCTGGGGTAGCAGGCAGGTGCTGTCGTCTCCTCCACGTGACCTTTAGTCCTTGCTCTCAGGGGTGTCTTTAGCCAGATGGGCCCCGGCTCTGGGCTGCTAGCAGCAGTAGTCTGAAGGGAGCAGCTTGGAAGGCTGTTTTCCTTCTGGTCGGGGGGCGGGGGGGGGCAGCTTCTTCCTTGACAGAAGAGGACTCTGGGGTCTGGGTGTCAGGAGGAATGAACACATAAGGTGTAAACTCTGAAGTGCATGTACCGACAGGTCCCAGCAGCTTTGAGGACTGAGCACTGGAACTAAGGGTCCTCTGGAATTGGCCTTTTCTGGTTGATCGGGGCACCCCTTGATGATAAGGGGGTCTCCGGTGTCTCGCAAATGGAAGAGGATCGTGGACTCTCAAAGGTGGGGCACCTGCCCAGTGTGAGTGATGGGAAGCCAGGGTGACCCGTGGCGGTGTTTGGCACCCTCCAGCGGCTGATGGTGGAATAGCAGCTGGGCTTTCTGGGACCCTGGGGAGGCATCAACAGGTGAACTGGTGACCACATGATGCTGTTTGTCTTCAGGCTGCAAAATAGGCTCCAATTGGAACCCATGCCCGCCCGGCAAGGCCCGGCTGCCACTCCTGTCGGGGCACGGATCATTCGAGCCTGGAACCGCGAGACAAAGGCTGGGGCCGAATCTGCGGTGGTTGGTGGCATTGCAATAAGACGGTCGTGGGAAGCAGAATCATTGCTGCTTTCATAGCTAGGAAGATTTCAGATGGCCCATTGGCCTGAGAATTCCGCAGAGAGCAGCCTCATTCCCTTGGACGTGAATTATTAAATAGAAGGACCTCTGTATGCAAAGGAAACAGAGGCAGGGTGTTTCAAAAGAAGGAGGAATAAGCTCAGCAGATGTCTGTCACCCACAGATCGTACTCAGCAGTCGTTTTCAAAGTGCCTACTGTGCGTTGGGCGCCGCACGGGGCATTGCTGCCCCAGGGGATTCAGGTTCCGGTGGGGACGCAAGCAGGGCAGTAGACGCGGCTCAGTGCCGCATCGTACGTGCTGGGTGGCGATCCGTACGTGCAGGGGACAGCTGTAATCTAGAAGCAGCGGCGCCTGAGCGGAGCCCAGTCAGCATTTGTTACGTTGACAAACGTGAGTCTTGACTTAACTCTGGAAGGAGTGGCCGTTAGAAGCAGGCAAGGAGGCAGGCGGCTGTGACAGCGGGAGCAAAGGCACAGGGTGTGACTCGCTTAGCCGAGCAGAATCGGGGTTTTCCTGCCCGTTAAAGTGTGAGTCCCCCGGACCCCCGCCGCAGGCCAAGTGAGGGTGTTTCAAGAGAGCACGAGCAGGTGGGTGTCAGGGCCCAGGCTGGACGTCTGCAGGGCCTGGAGCAGAGCTCGTGGCGAAAGCCCTTGGGAAAGCCTGACTTGTGTCACCGGAGTCGGAGGACAGATCACTGGCGTCCGAGTCTCGCTGGCAGAAACCGGAAGGCGAGTAGTTGATTGGAGCCGTGAGTAATCATCCAGCCTGTTCAGTGAGTTCACGGAAGCCCCTAATCTCTAGGTGCAGAAGTTGCAGGCCAGGCCCAGTGGCTCACGCTTGTAATCCTGGCACTCTGGGAGGCCGAGGCGGGAGGATCGGGAGGCTGAGGCAGGAGGATGGCTTGAGCCCAGGAGATCGAGGTTGCTGTGAGCTAGGCTGACGCCACGGCACTCACTCTAGCCTGAGCAACAAAGCGAGACTCTGTGTCAAAAAAAAAAAAGAAGTCACCACTCCGAATAGTTCACTCAAAAGTGGCTGTAGCAGCTTTGCAAACTCGGTTACCCCTGCCGTCCACTTGAGGCGATGAGGACCCCCCCCCCAAACCGGTGGCTGGACAGAGGACCCTTTGGGGGCCAGGCCTCAAGGATTGTCCTTCACAGTCTCCTTTCCAGCTCCATGGTCTGCCCACTCACTGCCTCTTCCCCAAAACCGGTTATAGAAGATTCTCGTGTGTTTTTCCAGAGACGCTCTCTCTATC